ATAAATGTTGCCTTATAGTGGGAAAATCAAGTACATATTCTGAATTAGCGGCATATAAAAATCTCTCTACCCTCACATCGTACCCTTAAATGCCCCACCATTTGAGAACCCCTGCCTTAGACAGTGGCCCAGCCTATCTGTATCCTGCACTATAACAGAGGGACCAAGTCCATTTACTGTGAAGTCAGGTACAGGCCAAGAGGAGTAAAATGGTACTGGTGGTTTCTGGAGAGGTTGAGCAAGATTCCCTTTTACCTCTAAGTAGCTTTTAACCAGATCCAGCCCGATGAAAATACACTTGTAGATTCCTAGTCCCTCATTATTTTCTTTAAGCAAAGCTCTAACAGCAACCACAAAGTTTTGTTGCAGTAAAACATAGGTGAGAGATCTGGATGTACTGTCTGAGACATATTTAAACAGGAATACATCCTGCATAAGGCTTTCTTGTAAGGCTTTCTTGTAATAGTCCAATAACTAGATTTGCCAGATTTTCTCTTTCTTTTGGGGAGCTCTTTAATAATTACTGACACTACACATTGGCAGACCAGCCGAACAGGATAAGAGAAAACAAGAAAAAGCAAGCCCTAAAGAAATACAGGCTCAATGACCATAACCTGGCCACAGAAACCAGGTTACAGTATGTAGTCAGAACTTGCTACCCAGAATGGACAGGCTGTGCTCCAATTGCCAGTAGGAACAAGCAGATACAGTGGTGCACTTTCTACTACATTTTAAGAAATACTCTGGGATTAAAAATACTTACTTCACTAAAAAGACAAATAAAAATCCAGAATTCCCACATATGTGAGAATCTGAGCAGCTATCAGTTATCCTGGAAAAAGGGAAAGTAAACTCAATAAAGCTGATATTGCAGTGTGTGATCTCCTATTAAAGCCCAAAGAACAGAGAGTGGGCCTCTCAAATACTAATATTATGTCATTATCCTAAATGTTTGTAAATGCTTTGGTACTTTTTATTGCTTTTGTAACACTGTAGTTCATCAGTCATGGCAATAAATGTCTTTGAATTTATACATATTTTCCAAAAAAACTCTGTACAATAATACATGTGTAATATACATAAAAGACAAACTAAGAAAAGAAAAAGCCTAGTAATGCAACATTGTAAAACCCAAATTAAAACTACATTACACATTCAAATGTGGGAGTGTGTTTAATCATTCTTTTATGACCTGTTTCCTAAGCAGTAATACAGTATACTATTTGTATCTTAGTGGATAAAATTGGACACAAAATTACTTACTATTATCTTACTTTTACTATTATTTACTTATAATTATCTTACTAGTATATTGTTTAGTTTTAACATTTGCCTTTTTAGTGTTTCTCACAGTCTAAAAAGATTTATCAAAATAAATATCTTTTTAGTACTGTAAGTATCCTCTTTAAGGTCGCGTCTTTCCATTTTTTATCTGAAGTTTATGTATTTGCTACTCTGTTCTTGTCTACATTAAACATAATTTGCCAGATTTTTACTTATTCTTGAATTCTAATATTTCTTTTCTGCTTCTAGAGTCCTTGCTAATCTTCCCATTTTATAAACATATACAAACCTGACTAGTTTGCCAACTATACTGGATTATTGATATAAAATTGTTCTATTAGAGATCCCTTTGCACAGCATGAATTACACTATCCTAATCAGAGCATTCATCCTATTCAGCATTAACAAAACACATCTCTGAATGTCTACCACCTGCACTTTGAAACAATACATTTTTTAATGAATATCTTTATCAAAATCCTTCAAAGTGTAATATATTTTATGCTCTGTGTATATATTTCCAATAACTAGAGTTTAGCTCTTATTACCATCTCTATAACCTTCCATGCAATAGACATAAGTATAAATATCAAATACCTTGATTTCAGACTATGATTACTTGGTTCAGTTTTATCATCCTTTTTATTAAAGGTATTATTAGCGATTTTCCAGTCCATGGATACTTTCCTTAAGTAAAGTAGGTAGAATACCACTCTATGTTAATGCTATTTAGTATAGAACTGTGTCCTTCCACAGCCTGAGGCATGTTGTTAATTTCATCTTTGTTAAATTTATGAGCAAAACATTTTTTTCTGTATCAGTCAATTACCTTTCATTGTCTAGATGATTCCCATTATCATTCCTAATGCAATTTACTTATTGTATAAAGACTTTAAATTATTAATTTTGGCCTAGATTGCAATATTCACCATGAAGTTCACAAATTTCTATCTCTAATTTCAGAGCACCTGTTAACATTCTTGAAGCAAAACTAACTCCCTTTTAGCCTGTTGTTTCTTTCAGAGAAGTGGTCCTCCATCACCACGGATAAATACTGTACAATATACATTTTGACAAGCTCCTTCTGTTGCAGCAGGAGCATATTTATAAAGAAGACCCACTGCAGTGATTTCTACCTTGCATACTTCACAAATTGTCTCACATTTCCTTCCTGCAAATGGAGTTAAACTGAAACACAGAAGGGATGCTCTGAATCCAACAGTCACTCAATAATCTTCAGTAATGTTTTTTTTTTACTGTAAGTAATGCTTTAAAGGTAACAGGAAAGGTAACATGTATTTGCAAAGATTTCTAAATTTACCTTGAGCAATTAAATAATTGCCTTGAATAAAAACAATAACTAAATGTTTGAACATGTGAGGATGATTAGGATTCTTATTCTTATTCTTATTATCGTGAATGATATTGATATTGATGTTGTTCCATCAAAATATTAATAATTATTTATTTGTATCATAGTCCATATATTTGAATTGTACTCTTGAAAGAGATGTTTCTTGGTGGAATAAAAAGAAAATCATTCTTCAATCAAAGTAAATCAAATCCATGGATGATTATTTCACTCATTCATTGCCTGAGATGTAAAATAAATGTTGATTTTATCTGCTGGTTTAGCATAAAATTATTTAGCATAAAATTATTCTGCCAGATTTAATTATAACATAGCAGACATGTTTAGATCATACAGCATAACACTAATTTATAGTTAAAAATATTAAAAAAAGAACCAATATAGCCAAATCTGCCATTCACTACCACACGTTTGTCAATCGTGATGCACAATCCCACAGAGTAGAGGTGTGTGTGTCTTCAAGTTTTCATTGCATCTCAGCTATTGATATATCTTAAATGAAATAATTATTGTATTATTTGCGACAGCTTGAATTGTAATGGTGTCTTAATGGACTGTGTGAGTATTTGTGTTTGTGTACATGTGTGCTCATCAGATACCTTTATTTAGAAGCTTAGACCTGCCTCATTGTACCCTATCATCAAAACCTCGTAAATGGCTGCTTAAAATGTTGTTATTAGATTTACCATCAGAAGAAACTTTTATTTATTGATTACTAAAACCCATGAAAGCAAAGTAGGAAGTATTATTTTATATTATAATTGCTTTCTGTTTTTTCTGTTTATTTTACTTCTTTTCATTTATGGCTGTATCTTAAAATTAATAAAACGAAAATATTTTTTAAGTGGTACAATCTGGGTAGCATTTTTATTTACATATACAGTAGATTGGAATAGTTTCTAATTTCATATACAGTTCTGCATTCAGCTCTGATGTATTCCCTGGCATTTATTTGAATTGTTTTGTTATGGCATTTAAGTGAAGCATAATTAATTCTCTAGCGAGGGAAAACATCATGCTAAGGGTGGGCAATCCTACATATACATAATTCATTCTATTTACAAGAAATAATTAATTGGTCCAGAGGTAATTGGTAATAAGAAAGTCAGCAGATATATAAGTAAATTTTGTATAAAATTATTTTTACAGTGGCTATCAAAAGCATTCACTCCCCTTATACTGTGTCACATTTAATTGTGTAACAATATGGAATCATAGTGTATTTAATTATTATGTTAGCAATTTTTAGCAACTTAGGTAATTGAAAAAGGGGCGAATACTTATGCAATCAGTTATTTTCTGTTTTAGATTTATAATTTAGGAGAATTTGTAGAATTTTGTTTTCACTTTGACATTATGGAGTGTTTAGTGTCCAATTCAAGAAAACCCAACCAATTCTATCACAATAAATCAATCAATGCATTATGTTCAAACATACAATACATTTTAAAACATATGAACACTTAAGGTAGCACTGTGGTGCAGATGTTATCATTGTTACTTCACAGTACTGGGACCCCAGGTTCAATCCCTGAATTGGATGATGTGGTTAGAAAATGGGATGATTGATGAATGACATAAACAGGGCATTCTAATTACATGCTTGATGGATTGATGAACTAATTCTAGTTATTATAACAATGAGTATCAAGAGAAAGCCTCAGTCTGCCATGAAAAAAAAGTTTTTGAGAACTTATTGACTTCGAAAGCAACCCCTTAGTAGGGTGCAGATGGCCAATCAGGTGCATAATTTATATTTATAAGAACCATTACATGATTTCCCCACAGCAGTGGTTACAATCCTAAAACAGTGAAGCACTAAGCCTTCCAACTCTAAGCAGAAACATATTACCATTATATACCGTATTACCAAGCTCTCCTACCTTTTAAACAACCAAAATATTTCCAAAATATTTTTTATTTGACTAAACACGTCTAAAATGTCTTATATACTTCATGGAATACTTCCACATTAGCTTAGTTTATGCAGTGTTATGCACTGTTGCAAAACTTAAGTCATCTCTTACAAGCAACTGAATTCTATAACTGTGTATTAAGGCATCATACCAGTATCCTTTTTAGGGGCCAACCTTCTTCTTCTGCCACTACTACCTCACCTGTTAAGATATGTATATTTGATGCAGTTTGGAAACCATCGCTTAAATGGAAAATAATTACTCTTTGAAATTTAACACTTAAGTACTTTGTGTTCGTTTTACAGTAAATGAAACTAATGATAAGAGTCAAGATTACACAGACAGGCATTTTCTGTACATGACATACACAAACACACACACTCATTTATCAAGAACTGACAGGTCTGTTTGTTACATAGAGTACTTACCCATAAAATATGCAGCCACTTTACAGACACCACTGCCAAATATAAAGTCTTTCATCAGATTTGGGATTAGGGTGAACGGCATGCAGAACAGACAGAGCATCAGGTCGCTGACAGCCAGGGACAGCAGAAATATATTTGTCACAGTTCTCATTCGTTTATTTCTCACTAGCACTGCAATGATCAGGGCATTTCCTAGGACGCTGAGCAAGAATATTAAACTGTACAAGAATATCCGTACAGTCTGATTTATATCTGCAAACAAAATTAAATAAATGTTAACACTTTCTTTATCCCACAAGAGTCATTTATTGTCAGGAAAAGCTCTAACAATTTTAGTACCCATAAAGATATATGCAAATACATTTGTACTGCTTTTGATATAACAAAACGTACAAATAATGTGTGACTAAATAACACCATAATTTATTTTGAATACAATATAATCTCTAGAAATACGTAAAATACAAAACTCAGATGAACAATTATTAGTAACATAAAAAGTGTTAAGTCTATTAAGTCTTTTCATAATCTTTTACTATTACAAACACACTATATTATTGTGCCATTTATAACATTACTTTGAGTTATAGTTAAGTATGTTTAAGCATTTTAAGCATATTAGTTAGAAATGCGTTACAGCGCACAAGTACAAAGCAGTAATTAATTGGACATATTACGCTACGACGTGGTTTTAAACAATTTTAACCCAAACGTTAAATTACGTTCGACTTCTATCAGAACTCCGCCAGACAGACGCAGTGGAAACGCTTGCCTATAAGCGTACAATGAAGTTTAAACCACAGAAGCATTCCTGCATATTTTTCTTATAAATATATCCTACTATAAAACATTATTAGTGCTAATGCATTTCTTACAATTGAATTTAATATATGTGATGAGTAGAAAATCAAATGTTATTGTAACATAGTACTACCTGTCTGTACGATTTATGTTACCTTACCTTTAGGCTGAGATGGCTCTTCGGATCCTTTATTACACTCCGTTTCATTCTTGAATCCAAGTCCACACAGTAGTGTGTACATATCAGTGTAATTTAAAAGCATATCGTGCAGTGTGAATGTTTCCATTGTGCGCTCTTGACAAACGCGAACAAACAGCGTGAAAAACAGAATTTCTAAATCTTATCCATTTAAGTAACTTGCAGGTAAGAAAGAAATGGGTTACAGCTACACACCTAAAATTAGCCTTTTTTATATTTTAAAAAATACTGTATTTCCCATATAAATGATTCCAGACAGCGAGTAATAACGCAATATTTATGAAAAGAAAATTACATTATTTTGACGATCAATGTTAGACTTAATGTTTTCAGTAACATAACACTACCTGCGCCCGCAACTGCTGCGCTCCCAAAGTTAACAAGATTTTAATGTCTCACTGTTACAGCCTCTGACAGGAGTCAAAGACGAGCACGGCATGTAACCCCGCCTTTCTTGAGAGTACAGGACTCTAGGATGATTTAAACAAACCTTTTCGGGTCATTTTGGACATTTTGTTTAATTTGTTGTTCATCCATAAATTCAATGATAATAACAATAATAATATTTTTTAGAAAACATATTTTTAAATTTAAAAAAAAATCTATGTAGCATAGATGTTTATTAAAATTCCTGAAAACGATCTAAACAATATGAACACGAAATTATTATTTTTATTGTCGATGTTAATATTGCTTTTTTAAGTTCTGCTGTTACGTCTTGACATTTAGGGTTTTTAAATTGCTTTCAAATACTAATAAAAAAGTAAAAAAGATACATTTACTATATTTAATACAGACATTTACGACTTTTTCAGAGGCATAATGGATTTCTTTCTTTCAGAATGGTTATAAATGTTATCATACAGTACTTTCAGCTTCATTTTAGAAATATACTCCCAATACAAATGGACGCTAGGCTGCATCCTTTCTAGTAAGACTAAACTTTTTTTAGAATTTTTCCAACCATCCTTTTTATGAACCAGTTCTTCTAGTTCAGGGTCGCAGGAGAGCCAAAGCCTGTCCCAGTGAGCAAAAGGTGCAAGGCAGGAAACACCTTGGACAGGACACTAGACACTAAAATAAACGCGACATCGACTTCGAGAACCAAGCCCTGTACTCCTTTTTCATCAACAGAGGATACCCCAGCAGTGTGATTGACAGGGCCCTTGCCCGAGCCAAAAAAAAACCCCGGACCATCAACCCGATCAGTAACTCTTGCCGTAACAACCACATTCCTTTGGTGCTTCCTTACCACCCTAACACACTTCCTATCCCCAGGACCATTAACCACAACTTTTCCATCCTACAGGATGATCCCTCCATTGGGGCCCTCTTATCTGATTGCCCTATCATCTCATATCGCCGACCACCTAATCCGCGTAACCTCCTTGTTCACAGCTCCCTTGACCGCCCTCAACAACCATCCACACCAGGCACTTTCCCTTGCAACAGAGCTCGCTGTATCACCTGCAAGTACACATCCACCACCACACTCATTCAAGGCCCCTCAGGACAATTCTGGATCACCCAGACAGCATCTTGTACCTCCAGCAACCTTATTTACTGTATCTCTTGCAGTAAATGCCCAGCCATCTACATTGGAGAAACAGGAAGGAGACTTGGAGACCGCTTCAGAGAACACGTCAGGGCTGTGAAGATTAAAGATGTCTCCAAGCCCATTGTTTCTCATTTCACCTCTGATGGCCACGACCACTCTAATCTCTCCGTTTGTGTTCTCAAAGACGCTTTTCCGAACTCATACATCAGAAAGACCACCGAAACTAAAATTATTCTGCAGCTAGGATCACACATTCTCCCTTCTCTTAACAACAGACTACTGTTCTTTTAAATTTTCTCCATTCATTGGAAGTTTCATTTCATACCCCTCTGCACCCATTCTGACTTCACACCTCTTGATCGGCCTCTCTTTCTGTCCCCTGCTCCCACCTCTCACTCCTCCTCCCTTCCAACCTTTGTTCTCCCGCTACTTTACCTTTGCCTACTGCCCTCTCTAACTCACAACTGAAGAAGGCTCCACGGCCGAAACGTTGTGTTCTCTTTTTTCTTTTTTTCATCATGGAATAAACCTATTACTTGCTCCTTTGCACTAAAATAAACATGCACACACTCACACCTCACACCAAGAGTCAATTTTCCCTCAAGCCAATTAGCCTATCAGTATGTTTTTCGACTGCTAGGGAAACCAAAGCACCCAATACAGTACCATACCATACATGCAAACACAGGGAGAACAAAGTCCACACAGACAGTACCCCAGGTCTGGAATTGAACCCAGGGCCCCAGTGTTACAAGGCAGCAATCCTATGCACGCCCTCATTGTGTCACCTGGAGCACTTTTTTTAAATTTTTGTTGTTAAATTGTTACCCCTATTGAAAACCAATACCTGAGGTTACATCTGATTTTTCCAATTGTGCAAAACATCCAAAAATGAGTGATTCTTAACCTACAATCAATGCAGAAGTTTGATTACAAACCTTTTACAGCAATTTTGATGTCTTGTCTAGTTATCTAGATATGTTATTAAATATTTCACAGGGTGACAAAGGTTTGAGTAGGCCAGTGACTTGGGCATTATCATTACTTAAGCTTTGCATATAATATTGTTGGATTTGGTATGATTTTTGTGCGCGCTTCCCTCTTTTTTAAAGGATTCCTGCTTTTCAACAGATGACATTCTTCACAGACTGAATGTCAGAATATCACATGGTCAAAAGCAACACATTAGAGGTGTGGAGGTGCTGAGCAGGTGAAGACTGGACCTGGAACAGGGAGGAAAGACAAAAGGGAAAGAAAGGAGGGACAATACATTGTGACACCTAGCAATCTGCATAAAGTCAGTTCCTCAAGTGATCCCCACTTGTTTATGTCCGCCTAACTCTCTTGATCAGGTGCTGGAGTTCTGGTCAGAAAGATGTACAGTATATAAAAACTGAAGCGAGTTGAGGCACAGGGACCATGCTCACTTTTCCCCTACACCACATAGCTGCATGTGCGCAGGGAGATATAATAGAACATATCCATGGCAGTTGGGACTGAAGAGGACGCTAGATACAGCTGAAGAACTGTGCTTGAACTGTGAACTGTGTTTTTTTTGTAGAGCATAAGAAAGGATAGCTGGATGGCTGGATTGAGCTGAATGAGTACTCATGGGGACTACAGAGGGAGACAAGTGTGGGAGAGGATAACTGTCACGGACGTCCAAAGGGACTAACCGTGGGGAG